TCAAATAGATAAATCTAATACAATTTATCACTTTTTTTTTTTTTAATACTAAAATATGAAATATAAAAAGTATAATTTTATTGATGTAGCGCCATCGAATGGTGAATGAATTATTGCAAGCAGAATTAGAAGGTGGTGTACATGCGTTATCAATTGTTGTAAGTGTTGATATATAATTATTTCAATATAGACCTGAATTTGCATCATTCTAAAATTTGAAAATAAATCTTTACCACTTATTTACAAAGGCAAAAGCACCCGATCAATGGAACGAGAAGACTGATATAACTCCAAGTCCAGCTTGCAAAGGTGGTTTTGGAAGATGATTGTTTGAAGTTCCAAAGTGCATAATGTATCAATGCTTGGATCATGTACAGTCGTTCCTTATTATGTACATCTTTTAAGGTTATATTTAATTATTGTATGAAATTAAAATAAGTAAAATAATATACTCGTAAATCTTGGAATTCAAATTCATGTGTAATTATTAAAAGTTTCTAATCAAACCTAAAAAATAATTAAACAAAAAGATACATTAATGTCATAAAGCAAAAGTGTCCAGTCTTAGTTTTCCCTCATTTTCAGTAAAATAAAGTATATCAGCCATAGATTGTTCTGCTATTGTTTCTTCTGCTCTATCCTGCATCTGTAAAGTACATTTACAGAAACTGTAGCACTTTTATGAATAGAAACTGTAGGATAGTAAGCTCCTTTGTTAATATCAACAAATGCTTCACCTTGATTTATTCCATTCTTGTAAAATACGATTTTACTTCCTTGTAATGGTTTAAGAGCCTTTAGTGCTTCAGGTACTTGATCTTTCTCTTCATAGTAAAGATGACTTTTAAATTTTACTAAGGGCTAATTTATAAATATTAGTTTGTAAGAAAAATACGAAAATGCAATAAATTTATACAATATTTTCTTCTTACTCGATCCTTATAAGTATTCGGTAAATGTGAAGCATCATGTGTGTCAGGTAAAATTATTAGAAATCCTAAAGTATCACCTTCTCCATAACCATTGCTATAGTGTTTACCTCTACTTTCATGAAATCGTGTACCTTTTCTGTCAATAATACAATTGTATATTAATTTCCTGTTATGAACATTTTTTTACCTTTACATTGTTTTATTGCATTGTTTTAGTTTAACTGTACCTAGATCTCCAAGAATAACCAAATTTGTCATAACCTAAGGGAGCCTGTAAATTTGCATACTCTTGACCCCATCCTAACCTTGTAGCTGATCCTTCTGGCATTTCTTCAATAGTTGCTTCCCAATACCATGTTCCTCTACTTACATCTAAAAAAAAATTTGAACCACATAAATAATGCATAAAATAAGAAAAGTCTAAATATCATAATGTATGTTTACTTATCTAACTGAAAAACCTTATGCTACTAAGTCATAGATTTAACATACTGTGAGTAGCTCTGACCATGCAATAGCCTTTTTCTCCTGTGACTGCCAACCTGTCTTCAGAAACTCTAAGTTGTGGTGCACGATCATGCAAAGCAAGTAAAATCGTACTTGGACTTAAAGCCCTATACAGCCAACCAGGAATAGGTTTTCCAGCCCAATCACTACTTTCATCAAATTCCTGCCAAATAATATTATGTTTCATAATACATCAAATATAAAAAGTATGCGTTGTGCTGTGAAATTTTCCATTCAACAAAAAATGAAACTAAACTTAATTACAAACCTGTCTAAAAGGTGCATGTGGATCAGGTTCAGCAAGAATATATCGGTAACCATCTTTGTTAAAAGGATGTTCCAGGGGATATCCATGAGCAGGTAATTTAGGAGCTGCCATATCTGAACCCCTACCTTTTTTTCCAGGTCCTGTACCTGTTCCTTCTCCAGGAAACTTACGTTTTGCATTGCGACCACGAAGACCTCCACTAAGTGGTACTGCCATAGTTATGTTTATTACATTAATCACATAACACTAACTTTAATACATCATTGTTGAAAATATGAAGTTATATAAAGATAAAATAAAATAAAATTACATGTAATTTTAGCTTTTACGTTTCTTACTATATTAAGTTGATAATTCATAGCAACTTTATAATATATATTGAAAGTGAAACATTACATAAAATTTATTAAGAATCTTAACCAAAGTAATTTATAGGCATTATATGATTAAACAGATCATTGCATGATATCATGGTACTGATTAATTTCTTGATAAGATAAGAATTAACTAAAACCAGAAAGAAAAAAACTGACTACTGAGAATTGAAAGATAAAAGACATGATCACATTATTACTAACATAAATATGTAACAATTTAATTAAAAACATTTTATAACTTTATAAAAGAGGGCAAGATGCAATTTTCAATACAACCAAAAATAGGGTGACTTTCTATTACTAAATTTTGCATATATTCATGTTTGTACACATTAACTTATGTTTAATATATACTTTAAATATAGGTTTTTGTAAATTCTTTATTCTCTATTATGTTACAAATATTGTCAAAATATCTACTGTATACAATGTACTCAATTAATGAATGAAGCATGAATGCACTTTAATGTGTTTCAACATTTTTAGTTTTTTTTTTAAATTTAGTTGATAAATTTAAACACCTTTTTTGTAAAGTTTCTCTCAAATATGATATTAAATATAGAAATTTGTAAGTAAAATACCTGGTAAAAATACAAGATGAGAATGTGTTTTATAGGTTCAATACACTCTTATGTATTAGAAGTTGATGAATTGTTTAATATGATGAAACTTTTTTTTTCCGAAATAATAATTGCAACATTTGTAACATAATAAAAAACAAAAAATTTGCGAAAACCTGTTACATTATTTAAAGCATATTATCAATATTTACAAACACTAATACAAACATACAATAGTTAAATTGCATTCATCTATAATATGTATGAATAGATAAACAATTGATGTATTATGTGTATTCTACAAATTTTAAAAACAGATTTTATCCAAAATGGAGACTCATATAACAAAATGTTTCTCCCTTTTTTATTTATTTTTGTATGAGGAAACATTGTATTGTCAGTTGTATTATATAATTACCCCCCAGTTTGTAAAGTTTCATTGTATACATATCATTTATATTTACAAGCAAATAATTATATATGTTCTCGAAATAAACGTAATTTTTTAGAATGAAATAATATTGCATTACAATTGATTTATAATTACACTTACCAACATGTTGAACACCCATTTCAGTCACCTTTAAATGACCACCTTTAATCATTGCTTCATAATTTGGTTTAATCATTTGAAGATCAGAACATATAAGTCCAAACAATGTGCCATCAGAATTGTTATCATCAATAATAGTAAATAACGTTCCAACATCTTTTAGCAATGCTCTATGTATCTACAATAAGACAATTGTTACCCTTGTTTTTGTACTTAAAATACTTTTTAAATGATTTTAGAAAATAAGTTATATGATATAATGAATTCAAAGGTGGCATAGAACAGCACAATGCACTTGTGAAGATACAGATAATTTAATAATAAATAATAATAAATAATTAAATTATTTTAACATAAATATATTTATGATATTATTTTTTTTTACAATTACATGTACTTAAATGAATATATGTTAATAGTAAGGAGAGTTTTAGATTGCTTACTGTAGCATGCCATGATTGAGTTACTCTACGTGGCATTGTAGTCATACTATCCCAATGACACTCTATGAAAGGAATAATGTCTTTATCTTTATGAAAAAATGTTCTGTGTTCGTTTTCTTTTTCAGACATTTGTAGCAAATTTGCTATTGCTGTTACACACATCTGTGGGAATGCTAAAAGAATTATACTCTTTGAACTACATTGAAAATTTTTATGGAAATTTACAATATGGTTATTATTTAAATATATTCTTACGTGCTTGATTTTTTTTGAAGCTTTCCAAGCCAGTTGGAGAACAATTTTTGCACATGAATATATAATTCATCATGAAGGGTACTAATTTACCCAATTGATATCCAATACAAGATTCATGAAACCATCTTGAACAACTAGCGCATAATAATTCTATGATATTAAGATTTCTTTCCTTACCACTAAAAGAATAACAATTTGTAATATTGAGAATTGATTATTTATATTACATATTACAGTATAAATTTTAAATAAACTACCAGTAACAATTTCCAGTTTCATTATTATTTGTTCGACTATTAGATTTCTCTGTATTTTCTTCCAGTTTATGTTTCTGTTTATTTTTATCGTCATGCTTTACTTTTATCTTGTCTTCAATAGATTCAAGTTGTGTTCCATCTACTTTATCGATTGGACTGTAAAAAAAATATTTATATTTAAGTATACAATTTATGAAGCACAACAATAGCGCATAACCTCAAAAATATTTCTGTTGTCGTGTGTTATTTAAATCATTACTTATAAATATAATTAATAACACAGGAAACATTATTATTTGCGTAATTCTTATATACACACCATACACACAATACGCACCTGACGTGCTTATGTATATAGAGTATATATCTGAATATGCATATATATATACACAGATTCACGCGTATGCACACTTTATAAATACCTTTCAGCTTTTTCTTCTGACATTTTCGATTTTACAGGTTTCTATTATTGTGCAATTAGTCCTTTCCTTCTTTTTTGTTCCCTTTTTATTTTAAATTTTGCGTTATATTAATATATAGAAATGTATACACCAAGTGTATACAATTATACATGCTTCCTTCAGCTGACTTAGATTGCTCGATATAAGTTCCTTCGCAAAACTCGATTTATAGTTATGTATCGATTATTCACACCATTGATTGGGTACTACGGAGATCAGGTCTCGCGTAGTTTTACATGCAAAGGAGACGAAAATAACTTATTTATAAAAGTTAAGTAAAATGATAAAGATCATTATTATTTGTTTTATATGTTAATCGTATTAAAACAGGTGTATATGATATATCAATTACAGATACAAAATAACTAAAGTAATTATTCTATCCAATACGGAGTATTAAGAGTTTTATGTTTCAATTAAACTTACAATATAAAAATTGTGATTTCTATTGTTATTATTAATCATATAGCAGAAAAAAAATGCAGAATTTAATTATCAATAATCAATACCAATATTCAGTTTTCAATGTTCTTGGTCTTAATATATAATTGTACTTTACACTTTTACACATAATTTTACATTTACATTATAATTCAAATAGAAACTGTCAATGTCATATATACTTCCTTATAAGCACACTTTTTGATTTTTCACTTTTATGTAGTGTTGGTACATATATACACATTTAAATGTTCTAGCGTTCATACGTTTTTAATAAATTATAAATATAAAGCAACATTTCTATATTATGGAGTAAGTCTTCATTTTTTACTTATTTATAAACTCATTAACATTAATTTTTCGTTTCATATTCTATTCGAATTTAATTAATTGTTGATGTAATCCGTTACTATGAACAATTTAAAGTAATGGTTTTTATATTTCAAGTAATCTTTAAACGTTAAAATTTTATTGAATAAACATTTTATAAAACACGATCACGAATGACAATTAAGGGGGGGAAGTCGCCTTTCTTAAAGTAGATTTGAAAAGGAAAATAAAATATCTAATTGGTTAGGTATGAATATTATTCACTAAACGCTTTATAATAAGATGAGAACATGAGATGCGATTTAAGAAGACATTGTAACAAAAACTTCGGTTTCTGATGTTATTTCTATCGTTTTCCAAATCGAAAAAAGTAATCCTATTGATGAAAAATCGGAAAAGCAGTAGTTGTTTTTAATACAAAGGATACTGTAATAATATAAACCAAAAAAAAAAAAATATATATATATATATCCGAATTCGGAAGATACAAAAGAAAATCAGCCTAGCAATATTGTAAAATCGATCAGTTAATGATTTCAAAGTTGCTATGACAGGGGTTAGATCTGTTTTGGCGCAACGGTATTCAGCGTGGTGTCCTCTGACGGCAAGCTCTGTCAGTAGAGCAGGAGAAGTGGTGGGGAATAGAGTGTAGCAACGGAGCGTGCGTCTACGTCAGGGAAAGCTCCGAGCTTATTGGTCCCGGTCCATTGTTGCGTATTGATTGCTGCGGAGCGGTGGTATAGTCGTTGGGACACTCGGTCGTCCTCATCGCCGTCGTCGTCGTCGGTGGTACAGTCGAGTAGGTTAAGAAAGCGGGACACGCGTACAGATAGATCAGTTTTCCGTGTCGTTGTGATCGAAAGCGCGTTTCGTCGCGTACGATTCATGGATTCGGGTTTACTGTATAATATATACACGTAAAATACAAGTATATATACATATTATATACATATTTGTTCGTATATACATATTATTACACGTACACGTAGACACATACACACACGCACAGTCGCGCGCGCACGCACGCGCGCGAACACACACACACACGCGGATATACGTACCCAGGCGCGCATTCTTATAGGTGCATACCTGCGCGCGCTCTACATACGCATGCATGCGCACACACACACACACGCACACGCGCGCGCGTAAGGAGTATAAACAAAAGTTACTTATGTATATGTGTATATACATATATATACACGTATATATGTGTGTATACACACCACGCGCGCGTGCATTCATATTGTCATTAAAACACACAAATACAGACACGCACATATTGTACAAGCGTACATAAATATTTACTTGTAGTTGTATAATTACATACATGCGCGTTTGTGCACACATATGCATGAAATCAAACACAAAGATATACTACGTACATAGCACGCATGCACATAACTACATACAAAATATATGCATACACAACACATGCAGACGCGCGCGCGCGCGTGCGGGAGCATACACATATTTAGAAATAGATACCGAACACATGTACGCACGTATGTGTATATACGTGGACGCACACGTATGTATATGTCATCGCAGTGGTGTCAGTGGGTTGTTTTCTTGTTTTCCGTTTCTCCCCCTTTCGAGATTGGAATTACCTGCGGCATCAGAGGCGGCGGCGGCGGCGGCATCAGCTGCCGCCGAGTGTGTCCAAACTGACTGGTACTAATCGTCGGCCACGATCAACTTTGGTGGACAGTTGTTGGAGAGAACTGTGAATCCTTACTAACAGAAGCGGTGAACGTCGACAAGGGAAATATGTAGGCAAGAGGAGCGGACTGTGTAATCGAGGGTAGTTGATTGAAAGGCGAAGATCGGAATTTCGAAACGGTTGTCGAAAGACAGCGGACAGAAAGACGGAGCGCATGTAGACTATGTCAGTGAAAAGCTCGAACGTAGAAGGTTTCCAGTGCGAACGGTTGTCCTGAAACGTTGTCACAAGCGGAGGAGCTGAAACGGGTAAACGGACGGACAGGTGAAAGGGGAGGAGAGTGTGATAGAAGTAGCGAAGGAGACTTGTAGTGCGAAGTGAAGGAAAGCGAGGGTAAAACGGAGAAAGAAACGTGTGTAAAGAATACAGGATAACCAAAAGATCGAAGGAGAGAAGAGAGGAAGGGAAATTAGAAAGTCGTTGAGAGAAGTTGAAAAGACGACGGAAGAAGGCAGTATCCCTCGCAAATCAGTGAAGAGGAT